CCATCTTCTCTTCCCTCCCTCCCTCTTTGCATAAACCGATCCTGTTCTGGAAATATCTTAAATCCCAAGATATAAAAGAACATGGGAAAATAATCTTGGGTGGCTGAGTGAGTAGGCCATCCTTTGCTGCTAGGAGCCATATTTAACATGGGAGGGGGGATAGTTGATAACACAGTGTGGGGTGTGTGTGACAATAATGCGAAGTAGCTGGAGCCCCACTTCCATTTTTTGAAGTAAGAGTTGAGGGGTTTCTCTGTGTTCGGTAGAAACTGATAAGCATATTTTAGGACATGCACTGCACTGTTTGAGCATTTTCTGCCTCAAAATGGCCCTTCCTTTTCAGCATGCACACCGCCAAATTTGGGGTGCAATGGGAGTGGCTATAGAGGTGACAAAAACGAGGGTTTGGAGATTGCATGGAACCTTTCTAGTCCTGGGGATGGCAAATGTGTTCAAGCTAAACCCCTGAGGTCTAGTGACTCGATCTTTTTGACTTTTCGATTTCTCGTTTTTAATATCCTGTAAGGCAAGGAGAAACAAGAATACAAGATAACAGCTCAGAATAATATGTCAACATTCAGTCATAGGTTATATATAACAATTTATCAGTAGAAGAGTTATTAACATAACATATTCAGTTTTTCCAGTTCCAATAAAAAAAGTGAATCAATCCCTCTGGGAAGTCAGTATCAGTGCAACCCTACTTTTGCCCACCAATTATTGAGTGATAGGTTATCTAGAAATTTCCAGTTTTGAGCAATTCTCAATTTTGCAGCCAGGAGCAAGAATGCAATAAGCTCCTTTCATCCTTTTGGAAATGGATCCTGCCTAGAATTTAACCCTGGCTTCTACCCTCCAGAATCCATTTCACAAACTGTGGGATATTTTAATACTCACTCGAAGCAAAGTTTCTTCTCTTCTTACTTCTAACTAACTAACTTCTAGAATCTTCTGCCACCATTGGAATTGGGACTCTCACAATCAGACCTATGGATTGACCCTTTCCTTTCTTCCCCTCCAAAATTCAGGTTGCAATCAAACAGATGAATTTGCAGCAGCAGCCTAAGAAAGAACTGATTATCAATGAAATTCTCGTCATGCGGGAAAACAAGAACCCCAACATCGTCAACTATCTAGACAGGTACTTGCAATTCGATTGGGCAGGCAGCCTTGTTTTATGCAGCTCTTTTTACAGAAATAGATGTTGTTTTTTCACTGCCCCAAAGGAATTCAGGAGAATTCTCCTCTCCCACCATGTCAGCTTAGCTCACCTATTTTATTTACTGATCAGGAGATCCCAAGAAATGGAGCTGGTCCTGGTCCATGAAGTTTCCACACTGCTGGTGTTGATCTGAATTTAGTAGAACAGTTTATAATTTAGTAGAATGAATTATTTCAAATGCACAGAGGCCTCGTTACAATTGGGAGGGGTGGCAAGGTTGATTGATTGATGACATTTGAAGGCCACCCAACTCCAAAATGACAAAAGACTTCACCCACAGGGCTCTACCAACCCCTTAACCCAAGGTCTGGGGGAACAGCCAAGTTTTTTAAAGACTTCCAGAACATCATCAGGGTGGGTGCTACACAAATCTCTGGGTTTTAAATCCGGTTTGGCATGTGCCGTATTTCAAAGCTGCCATTGGGGAAAAGTATTTTCCAAAAACAACCAGATTGGGCTGAACTACCTGGTATCTGCTCAGTCTGTGCCCCTAGAGAGATTTTAGCCTTTTGGTTAAGACTTCTCAGTCTGGATGGAGGAAGCTGTTTTGGATCTGCTTGCTCAAAGCTCAGATGGGAGGACTAAACAAACCAGATGCCAATCCCAGAACACAACAGGTAGCCCTGCAGTTTTGCATGTGGACCAGGTCTTAGGCAGAAATCCCCTTCTAAAACCCATGAACCCAAATCTCTAGTTATATAAAAGTGTTTATTAGGAAAAGAGGAATATAGACAAAACGGGCAACAATCAGACACACAGAATTCTGAATAAAGGCCCCAAAACTGCCAGCTAAAATAGTTACTTGCTATTGGCTTGGATAGACTCTTGAACTTCAAAGTTTGTTCAGAGTTCATTGCAGAGAGATGATTGGAAGAACATCATCTGGGTCTCCTGTCAGGATATTATTAGACAGGTCCTACTTGACGATGTCTCTGCTGCTACACCTTCTCCATCGCCTTCTCTTCCTTCTCCCACCAAGCACCATCTTCACTGCTTTCCCTTGATCCAAAACTTCCTTTAATTCCATTCTCCTCTCTTTGTACAACTTTGGCATTATGATTAATCCCTTGCTAGCACTGTGTCCTTTGTACACATCGAATCTACCACCCCTTGCCATTTGCCACAGAATTCCTCATGTCTTCTACCATTGAGCCTGTGGCAGAAACTTACATTTGTGTAACATTGATGTTCACTAGATAGTCACTCATTCTAACATATACGATGCTAATCATTAACAGGGTTAAAGCCAAGCAGATATTTGTGTCCTTTATGAATATTGTTGCTATTCTGTTCCTTTCCATGGTCTTATTCTTTGAATAGGACTTTTCATAACCATCTGATTTAGTGGTCCACTCTGGTCCACCTAAGTTCATGCATTCCTAACGCATCTGATTTAGTGCACTTCATTTCCACTTTGGCAATTTCAGGTTTTTCTTGGTTTCTTCTTCATAATTAAAATCTTGACCATATTGAATGACATTGAATGGATTTTCCACGAGATTGATAAGAAGGCAGGTTTTCTATTTGGGCTTTTTAAATCAGATATTATGTCTTTTCAGCAAAGCAAAAAAATATTTTTAGCTGCTGCTTACATAGAGCGAATCCATATACTTCCATCTTTAATTCTTATTAAATCCTAAACCCTCTGTTCACAAATTTATGTGTATTAAACACAGACAATCAGAGTGTCCTAACCAGATCAGAAAGCCTTGGGACTCTTAAGAGAAAATGTAATATAAATATTTAGCAAAAGGGTATAAATCTGGAGGTAAATTTTCCCCTGACGAACTGGTAAAGTTCTGAAAGTTACGCCCCGCTGCCTTAAGGCTTCCAAATTGATTGTTGAAGTCTTAAGACCTAGTATGTTCCCTTTGAAAAAACAAACAAAACACATATTCTCAGCTCTGCTTCAGTGTTCGTTTTTGTGCCTTCATTAAAAAAAAAAACCTGTTAAAAATACCATCACTACCTCCTGTGGAGGAGATGCTGACCGGGTGTTATCTATACGATGCTGTCCTGCCTTGGCCCTCTTATGGACATGCTGCTCTTGGCACGTCCCCGTCTTCAGTGCGGAAGGATCCATGCTGTTTCACATCTGTTGCTCTTTCCTGTCCCAGCAAATTGTAATGGGGCTGATTCATCTGGGCAAGTGGTGGGGGGAAAAGATGCGTTCAGATGCTCAGAATTAAAATATTTCCCCTTTGACTGTTCCTTCTCTCTGTTTGCTGCTGCTTCTCCTTGTTTTTGAGTTTATTTGTGGAGTTTAGCCTTTTTTTAAAGTCCTTTTTTTGAAACGGATCCTTGCAAGTGGCTTGGGGTACATTATCTGTTGCCATGGCGTCATCTACAGCATCCAAGGCCTCTCCCATAGAGTTGAATTCTTAATTATGAAATACATGGGGCTGATTTTATTCATTGGGTTTCATTAATTTCAAGCAATCTGTCAGTCAATAGAACACATTTCTAGGGCTGGTCAACTCCAGAACAACTCTGGACAGCTTACAGATTAAAAAGGGAGAAATGTCAAAATATCAAAAAAAGCGATAGTTGTTCATAGTGGGCAATAAAAGCCCTTTTCCTTGAGCAACGTCCAACTGAAAGAGATCCAGCAACTGCCCTAGCCCAAGGTCTGGAGGAGCAGGCAGGTTTTCAAGACTCGTTTGAATGCTGGTAGGGTTGGGGCAGTTTGCCTCTCTGGGGCAGTGTTTCTCAACCGTGGCAACTTTAAGATGACTGGACTTCAACTCCCAGAATTCCCCAGCCAGCATCTTAAAGTTGCCAAGGTTGAGAAACACTGCTCCGGGGGGATGCTGTTCCAGAGGGCAGGTGTTACAACAAAGAAGACTTCCTGGATCCCATCAGATGACAATGCTTAATGAATTGCACCCAGATCTTGCCCACTGTGATTGTACAGGATGGGTAGAAACAGTGATGTTACATGGGTGCACCATGATGCGCCCAATACTTTACATGCTGCTGCATTCTGGGCCACCTGAAACTTCTGAATGGTCTTCAAGGGCAGCCCCATGGAGAGCGCATTGCAGTACAGGTAGTCCTCACTTAACAATGGTAATTGGGACCGGCAACTCTGTCACTAAGCAATGCAGTCGTAAAGTGGGATGTCACATGACCGCATCAACTTAGAGTGGCAGTTGTGGCAGTCCCAGTTGTCTTGTTAGGTGAATCCCGTGCGATTGCAGCATCCCATGGTCACGTGATTGCCTTTTGTGACCTGCTGCTGGCTTCCCCATTGACTTTGCTTGTTGGAAGCTGGCAGTGAAGGTTGCAAATGGTAAATGCATGACTGCAGGATGCTGTGATGACATAATTGCGAGTCAATTGCCAAGCGCCCAAATTGCAATCATGTGACCACAGGGATGCTGTGATGGCCACAACTACGAGGACCTGTCATAAGTTGCTTTTGTTCAGCGCTTTCAAATCTTCGAATGGTTGCTGAATGAGTGGTCGTTCAATGAGGACTACCT